AAGTGTAGTGTCATGGGTTTAGGGCCAGGTTCTGCCTTTCAGGGTTTGGATCTCTGGCAAATCACTTAGCCGTAGAGACCTGAGGTTTGTGTCTGATCAGCAGGGATACCCACACAGTGGTTGCAAAGGCCAAATGGCTAGGACGTTGAAAAATGCCATGGGAGCTGTTTTCCTGGCCTAAGAGGAATGGCCTTGCCTGGGAAACCAGCCTCACCCTTTCCCTTATAAGATCGGGGTCCTGCCTTTTAGTCTGGCCTGGTTCCCGCCCAGAACCATGGCGGCTAAGTGAGACAGTGGGTCCCTGTGCCAGGCATGAGCTCACAGCCCCTGAGTTTGTTTTAGGTGGTCTTCGGAGCCCACCCTGGCTTGTAGGCTCCTCCTGTTAGAGCCACAGTGTGGCCCTTGTCCCTGGGTCCCAGTGTGGTGTCCTGGAGGATGTGGGGATTTGCTGCCGGCCTCTGTGGTGAGTGAGCAGCTCACCCGCACTCTGGACCTGGGAGATGGGGCTACAAAATCAGATCCTCTCTGATTCGTTTGTTTCAGTTGTACCTTTGAAATTTTGCAATTTTGAAAACATCTAATTATTGGCTTTTAAATTGCAACTCACGTATCAGCAACATTCAAGAAAAACCTTGAAAATGATCATGGTGACACTCTCAGAGCACTTGCTCTTGTGCAGCCCGTTAGCTCGTCCCCTCCCAGGGCCTCTGCAGGTGGCATCCTATCACTCTGTCTCATGCACGCAGCACCCAAGGTGGTGGTCGAGCTCCCAAATGGCAGAGCCAGGCCCAGCATCCAGCGCCCGTGTCTGGGCGCCTCACCATGGCTCAGGCACGCACGCTGCCCTCTCAGCCCCACGCGGCCAGCACCAGGGCTGACGCCTGTGCATTCTGCCCTTCTGGCTTGACAGCTCCTCACGAGCAGCATTTCATGTTTCCTTAAGCTTCCCAGTTATCCAACTTTCACCCAGTAAATGCTGAATTACTAAATGGATGAGTGAATTAGTTGGTCATGATAATGTACCATAGTAGCTCCTGTTTAGATGCTAAAACTTTCTCTTCTGTCCTGGCTTACCATTTTTAAGCATACTTTGCCATCTTTTGAAATAACATGAAATGTGTCAATAACCCTGAATGTTTTTATTTAAGTGTGGGTCTTACTCAGAGATAAGACTTTATTGAGAACCTTTAGGTTTTATTTGATCACCTGAGTTGGGCATTTATATATGAGGCTTAAATTATGACAGTCTTCAGCTTCTTTTCTTTAAAAATCTCTTATTTCCAAAACACATTAAGAGCTGTGAGTTTCTGCACAACATCGCACTGACAAGGCAAGGAATTGGGACAGCAGATTGACACCAGAGGAGGGAGCCATTGCGGTGACCACCCTCAACTGGTGCCTTCTCCACCTGGAGACTGGCAGCGGTTGTTTGGAATAAGTGCAAAACAGCGGTTGTAGCAAGACGGTGGAACGAGTCCAATCTCTCATCGCCTCAATTAAATTGAGGGGTTTTCTTTCCTCCTAAACTGAATTTCATTTGTTGCCCTAATTCACTCAGACTCCTGGACATGCAATGGTTCTTTGAGACGATTGTGTCCAATTTCCTCATTGTAAAGATGGAGGAAGCCACGACTCAGAAATACTAGCAGAGTCGGACAGCTCACAAAGATGGGAAGAAACTTTCAGTTCTATTCAGTTAATTCCTTTTCATTTGATACTAAAACTATTACGCCATTGTTCCAATCTCTGAAACAATTTCTATTTATGTTTTAAGCCTCCGTTCTTAATTGTTTTTTGTTGAAGCAGAGGAATGTAGTATAATCCTGAAAAGAAAGGCTTTTTTTAAAAAAACAGACTTCTAATAGATTTCCCAGAAATATTGTAGTTGTATTTCTTGACTTAGAATATTGTATAATTTCTTCATAAAGTCACATGTGCTTTTTAAGTTTAAAGAAAGGAAATACCGGGCAGGGGCGGGGGGTGGGTGCGGGGAGGGAAAAAGAGAATTACCCGTAGGCTGTTAGCTTTGCACAACCCCTAAGTGTCGGAAAGGAGAGTGGCAGCAGGCACGACGTTCTCCTGCCCAGAGACCACGTGTGGTAGCAGCCAGATTCCTTCCTGTGCTGCCTCCAGGCTTGTGCGTGGAATGATTCTGCACGTACAGGTCCTTTGTATTTCTTTTCTCTCTTAGCATAATTAGTTTACCCATGGTTTTAGCAAACATAATGCTGGTCTCGTTTTTAATGGCTGTATAATGGTTCGTCATGTGATTCAACTGTTTATGTTCGTTCATTGTGTTTCTAATGTTTCAGCACTACAAACAATGCTTAGAGGATAGTCTTTCTGCGTTATTATTTTTTCCCCCTGAATTCTAGATTGTTGCCTTAGGACCAGTTTCCATAAGTGACACTCCTAGGCTAGAACATGTAGACCTAAGACTTTTGTTCTGTGTTGTGAAGTCCCTTTCCCAGAGTCGCCTAGGAATTTGCATGAGTCTGAAGAGGACCCTCCTTGTTAATGCTTCGCTGGGCCCCAGAGCTCTGAATCTTCACCCGTTGCCAAACACACTTGCTAAGTGCAGTTGGACAGTCTTGGACCTGGACAACCACAGTGTTGACCCCGCAGGCACAGGCTCCTCCTGTGTTCTGCAGGAGAGAGTTGGGCTCTGGGGCACTTGGTGTTGAAAGACTGAGTTGTTTTCCATAGAACTGCCACCAAATGCAGGTGGCAGCTTTTCCTTCTGTGTTTTGAGCAATAACAACATAGCTCCTGCATTTGGGGAGAGATATTCCCCAAACACTAGACTCCTACCAGATGCCAGTCAGCAGGACCACTGCCTATCAGAAATCCACTGTGGCACCTACAGGACAGCACAGGTCTGGGCCATGGTTCCACGTGAACCCATCCAGGTTGTGCCACGTTTGTGGAATTTTCCCAGTAGTTAGATCGAAAGTCCCTTTTCCCTTCTTTGTGATGGCATGATAAGCATGACAGCATGACTAATGAAATCAAAGACAAAATATTCACCCTCCTAAAATCTGTTTAAAATTTTCCAGCCTTCTTTTTAGCTCCTCTTCATAGGCACAGATGCTTTTTATTTTCTAGTTATGATCATAACAGAGATCGTTTTTATCCTGCCTTCTCAGCTGACTGCTAACAACATTTTTCCATGTTGCTATGTGATTTTCATGATTACTGCTTGCTGGTTCCTTGGTATTCCATTGAGGGGACTAATTTAACCCTTGCTTATTTTTGGACATAATCTGTTTCCAATTTTTTCCCACTGTAATGAACGTGTGACACAAATATCTTCCCCTGTAGGTTAGTTATCCCATGTAATCATGGAATTTTTTCTTTCTGAATCTTCTCAGAAGTAGTACCTTTAGGTTATTTCTAGGTGTTTCTGATCTGTCTGATAAATATTGTCAAGCTTTCATCCAAAATGGCTGGCTTTCATCCTCTAAACATCTCAAAATTTAAACACTAGCTATGAATTATGGCCTTTTCTGTGGAAAGAAGAGATGGCCAAGCTGGTTGTAAGTGGCCTTGCACTCTGACACCCAGGGACATCCTAGCCTATCTGTGGGGCTGTGTGTCAGCACACCTGTTAACACACCTGCCAGCCCAGCTATTAGCAGACCTGTTAACACATCTGCCAGCCCAGCTACTAGCAGACCTGTTAACACACCTGCCAGCCCAGCTACTAGCAGACCTGTTAACACACCTGCCAGCCCAGCTACTAGCAGACCTGTTAACACACCTGTCAGCCCACCCACTAGCACACCTGTTAACACCTGCCAGCCCAGCTACTAGCACAGCTGTTAACACCTGCCAGCCCAGCTACTAGCACACCTGCCAGCCCAGCTACTAGCACACCTGTTAACACACCTGCCAGCCCACCTGTGAACACACCTGTCAGCATACTTATGAGAACATCCACCAGCAAGCCTGTCAACACATCTGCCAGTAGGCATGGCCTCTGTTCATTCTGAAAAGCTGCAGTCAACAGCAAAGAGCAAGTAGAGCTGCTCCTGGGAGCATTCTCACCTGAGAGAAAACACTGCCAAGGGAAACAGGACAGCAGACAGCAGGCCGTTCATTCGAGTGCACGGATGTGTTGGTGTGGAAGCACTATTTCCTGTTTTGTGAAACTCCAGAGGCCTTTAAACATGGAATTAAGACACCCACACGCTCACACAGAGACTTGGGTAGGGCAGAGGGCGCACGGGAGCCGTCCTGTCCCTCGGGAGGGAGCCTTCTTGGTCTCCGGCCGGCGAGGGCCTGGGTGCGTCAGGGGCCGCGTGCAATCCTCAGGCAGGAAGGCCCGACTCACCCATGCCCCAAGACCGCACGTGGGCTTCCGCTCGTCTGCAGGGATGCCAGCTAAAAGGGAGAGCAGGCTTTCCATAAAGCCTGGCCGTTTTTCTTCCCTCAGAAGGAGGTGGCCTGGGGGAAGACCCAAGCCCCTCCTCAGGAGACGGGGAGCTGGGATAGGGGTGAGGCGGGCGTCCCCTCTCTCCAGCCCTCGCTCCAGCGCTGCGGGCCACTCCCCAGCATCCTCCCGGTGCCCGCGGCTCTCAGAGCCCGTGCAGGCAGCTGCTTGAGACGCCAGAACACGTGCTTTTCTCGCAGAAGTTTCTCGGGACCTTTGGGCCTCCTTACCTATAAAGATAGCTGGGCTTTTGTGCTGACGTGACTGTCATTTAGACCCGCACTGAGGTCAGCCAAGGTGCCTCAGGCCTCGCCAGGACGTGGGGGTTAAATACCAGAGCAGGAGCGATAGGGTACTTGTCCTGGCTGGTGGGAAGGCACAGCCATGTTGGGTGGGGTCTGCTTTGCTAACTTGACTATTCTCAGCTTCACGTGGGAGCAAGCTCATCCTTGGGGCACTTACTCTCCACGTTTTCAGAATTAGGGACAAAGTCTTTTGCCTTTTAATGCACCTGGTACAGTTGTGGCTAACACGCAGCCCGCTTGGTGTCTCGCTTGGTGTCTCGCAGCCTGCAACGTGTGGTACCTGAACTCCGTGGAGATGGAGTCCCTCACTGGCCACCAGGCAGTGCAGAAGGCCCTGAGCATCACCCTGGTCCAGGAGCCACCCCCGGTGTCCACGGTCGTGCACTTCAAGGTGTCAGCCCAGGGGATCACCCTGACGGACAATCAGAGGAAGTGAGTGCCGGAGGGCGGCAGGGATCCTGCGGCAGGGATCCTGCAGCAGGGGCAGCACCCTTGGTGACAGCTGGGCGTGTGCCTCCTTGCCCTTCTCTAATGTGGGTGCCATTGGGTAAATCCTCGCCTCCAAGCCGTAGGCACCCAGCGTCTGAGTAGGCTCTGGGCTGTTTCCTGCCCATTCAGTAGGTCCTAGGAACCACATAGAAACTATTAGCATTTATCCTGAAGGCTTTTTTTCTTAGAAATCAGTAAAATTTAAACAAAAAGACATTTAGTGCTTTGAATATTATACACACACACATAATTTGCAAATGCTTTTAAGCATTTAGAGAAGTCATTTCTTTAAAAACGCGCTGAGACTGATCAGAATTCACTGATCTTTGTTTTATTCAGCATATTATTTTTTAACTGGGAGCCCTCTCATTTCAGGTGAGAGTATGACCTTAATACAGATTATTTCCTTTGGCCGCTTTTGAATGGCTTTCATCAGAGCTGTCGGTGACTCGGTGACTGTGACGCTGGAGCGGATGTTCCCACTGCGGGCGATAGCTGAACCCCCAGCTTGAGCACAGAAGGGAGCCAGGCGTGCCCCTCCGCCCCGCCCTCCAGGATCAAAGGCATCCCCTGGGCAGTTGTTAGGCACTTGTTAGGGAAGCAGCCTGGGTGGTTACCAGGAGGGAAGTCATTACCAGCCATGGGAACGGTGCAATGGCAGGAGCCTTTGAGGGCAGACGGGCAGCGGGGCACGGCCCAGACCAGCCTGGTCTTCTGCCCACTAGGACGACAGTGTGCCCACCTGTGTGCCCCGCCCCCCTGTGGTACCTGCTCCAAAGCATGTCCCTCGGTGGGGATGTTTTCTTCATCTGCTCCAACTGCCTGGGAGGTTGAAGGCAGAATCTACATTTCCTTTAGGATGAAGCAAGTTTCGGCAGATTTTGCTTGTAAACCTACACCCGCTAAGTAAAGGAACACAGGACGGGACGTGGGCTTTGCTGGTCAGATCTGAGTTCAGTGCCCCACCCCCAGCGCTGACCAGTGGGGTGGCCCCAGGCAAGCTCCTGAACCCCATGATGCTCTGTTTCCTCATATTTCAAACCTGCACCAAAATACCTGCCTCAAGACTTAGTAACTCGAATGAGAAGAGCACTCAGTAAGTGCCCTGTGTGGCTCAGCTGCACAGTGGACTCAAGGTCAGGTTTCCTGGACTGTCACAATGTTGACTCTTCTCTCTTCCATGCTGCCCTTGGAGGATCTGTTACTTTTCACAGGATCTTTTTTGTGTGCCCTTGTCAAGTGTGTATTTTTTCTGTAACTCCCTAGTTTCCCTATTTCTTATAAGCCTTGGAGATGGGTCATGTCCACATCAGTCTAGATCTTTCATATTGCAAGAGATAGAGTTTGAATTCAGACTGGCTTATTTTGGACAAGGGGTATATTCTCATTAACAACTAGCCTTAAATGGCAGCTGCTTAGGGGCCGGAGGGAGCCGGTGGCTGCAGGGTCACCTGGAACTGAAGTACGTCCAGGCTCTGCCCCTGCCCGTCTGCTGGCCTCTCTCCCCTTCTCCAAACGGGCTTTCTCCCTGTGCCAACACAAAGCCACCAGCATCTGGAGGCATGGCTTTACAGGGCAGCACAGCGTGTTATGATGGGCGTCCTTAGGGGACCATGTGGACCTGGTGGGCAGCACTCTCAGATGGGGAAGGAGGGGCTGGGCAGGTGAGTCCAGATGGAGGACTCCCTGGCGGTGGTGTCGGTGACCATGGGCAGCCCTTCCCCAGGAATAAGATGTGCACAACCCTTTAGGGTTAGCTCAGGGCTCTCAGATCTGCTACTGTATCTGATTCGAGTGCCTGTCCTGTGAAAGCGGTGGGCTGTTAACATGATCACCTTTTCACAGGTTAGAAAAACAAGGTTCCGAGGTGGTTAGTGGTTCCCCAGGATGTTGCAGCCAACAGGGTCTGGCGGGGCCTGTCGCCTGCCCCACCAGCTTCTCCAGTTTGTTAGGGCTCATGACCCAGTTCCCGCTGACAGTGTCAGTCCACGTGGCTGAACAGTCCTGTTCCGAGGCCGTTCTGCACAACTCTGTGCTGCCCGTGGCCTTCTAATGGGCACACGCTTTGTTCTCCTCTCCAAGTGAGGAGTAAAAGGGTAAAATAGTTTCTTGCTCCCTGAATCTTAACATGTGGGGGAGCCTGCCCTGTACATCACCCCGAAACCCCAGTAACAGGAACCATCCTCTCTCCCCTGCGTTCCAACAGGCTTTTCTTCCGGAGGCATTACCCCGTGAACAGTGTGATTTTCTGTGCCTTGGACCCACAAGACAGGAAGTAAGACATTTGCATTTTTATTAAGTAAGGCATATATTTCGTTTTACCCTTTAATTTTAAAAATTAACATAATTCTCTTCTCTTTAATTTGCAAGGTGGATCAAAGATGGCCCTTCTTCAAAGTAAGTTGCCAGGATTTCTTTACATTCTTTGTTTACAATCATGGTCCAAAGTTGAAATGTTTTCCAGATTTCCATAAAGGATGCCTTATAAGAAAATGACTAGGACCTGTCAGTTACTTTTTTTAAAAAAGAGAAAAAAGTAAAAGTGTTTCACTCCATTGGTAGCCAGGGCCCGGACGGTGCTAGCTTTCCCGACGGCTGTGGCCGGCGCAGTGAGCAGAGCACAAGCCCTGCAGCCGTTCGGGAGGAGCTGCCGCGCCGGGGCCGGGCAGGCTGAGGGAAGACTCCCTGCGTGCAGGAGGAAGCTGGTGTCCCGAGGTGGCCAACGTGCGGGCGGACGGTTCTCGCCACCCCCTTGCTCTGCAGCAGGCCAGGCAAGGTCCCTCCCCACAAGTGCACCTGTCCCTGGTTCTCCAAGAACCTGTCTGTGGCCATAGCTGGCCCAGTGCTGCCGTGGGCAGCATCCAGTGACCACAGGGTCATCACAGGATTCTTCCCCAGGGTTCCTGCTTCACACTGCTCGTTAGTCTCGGGAGCTGGTGAGCTCTCGGCGGCCTCCCCTCCGCCCCTGTGGGGACAGGTTCTGGGCGCACTGCGCTCTCTGGCTGGTGGGGATGACACCGGGCTTTCATCTCTTGCAATGTGCAGCCCCATCAGGATTGCTTGTGCATTGGCTGGTCCTTTTCATGGTGAGGAAACTGCTAAACTTAACAACAAAATCCTTTATTTTTCTAAGAAAGAGAAGGAAGACTCTTGCCAGGGATTTGGATAGGGATTTGGTCATTATTGTGTGAAGTTTAGGACTCAATGAAAGCCTGTTAGCAGAACGGCTTCGATTCTTCTAAGAGAAGTAATGAGATGTGCTGTTCTTTTCAGACAACTCCCTAAACTGCACATAGTCTGCAACCAGGATTACAAGGCCTGGGAAGAGTCCCTGGTGTATCTGGGGTCCCAGCGGGCAGGAGTGTCCAAGTCCAGGCAGGGATTGGGTGTGTCCAGCACCCTCTCTGGAGTCCCTCCACCCCTGCTCCCCTGCGAGGCTCTGGTCTAGTAGGTCGGAGCGGGGCCCGAGAGTCTGCCCGGACAGGAGCCGAGGGATTCTGGCCCAGCATGGGGAGCGTCTGTGGAGGTAGTTGAGCCTCCAGAGCCGGAGCTGTGGGCAGGAAACTCACCTCCCCCCAGGCCCAGGGCCTCACCTGCAGAGCAGAAATCAGACATCTCACCTGCAGGCCTTAGGAGGCTGGCCAGCAGGGTGTTTGGTCCAAGGTGGCTATTAGCTAGCGTTTAAAGTTCCTCCTGGCCATGCTGCTGGTGGCCAGGGAAGCAGACATTAAGTGCTTTGTGGGACATGACCACTCTAACCTGGACTTGGCTTTTGCAGAGTCTTTGGATTTGTGGCCCGGAAGCAGGGCAGCGCCACAGACAACGTGTGCCACCTGTTTGCGGAGCACGACCCCGAGCAGCCTGCCAGCGCCATTGTCAACTTCGTGTCAAAGGTCATGATCGGCTCCCCAAAGAGGATCTGAGAGCCCCCCTCTCAGCCCAGACCTGCCAATGCCTCTTGAGGCCCTGGAGACAGAAGTGGGGTGAGGGCAGGGCCCCACTTCATACCAAACTGAGAATCCTAACATTCCAGGCCTGGGAGGGAGAAAGGACCTTCCAACTCTACAGAAACAAGAACAAACAGCCTCACCACGGATTGGCCTTTCCTGATCCAACACATCTCTGCAGCCAAATGCTTTTTGGGTAGGAGAAGCCGGGCATGGGTGCGCCCACCCAGGGTCCGTGCGGGAAAGGGACAGGCGAGGGAACAGCAGGGAGCATGCGGACGCCTCCACGTTCCCGGCACACCAGCATTTCAGGGGATGAGGCGTGCCCGGCGCTCAGGGCAGAGGAGCTGAGTGACCGTCCACTCCCCCGTCTGCCCGCACGCTCCTGTCCAGCTGGCACCCAAGGCCGGTGGTCTCTCACCTCGGTCTGTGAGACGCAGATGCTAGTGACGCTGAGAAGGGGGTGCGTGTTTGAGGAAGGTTTGTGCCCTTCCAGAGCACGGCGGGGTCCCCAGGGAGGGGACTGTGCAGTGGGCTGCGGTGACGAGGGCGTGGCAGCCCTCTGGCGTCGTGGGCGGAGCGTGCCACGGCACAGGCCCAGCCTCACACGCGGCGCCCGCTCGTGCCTCTGCTCACGCGTGGCCAGCTGGGCCGGGAGAGCTCCTGAGGACCCCGAGAGGAGAAACGAGAAGAGGGAATCCAAGACGTCATTTCTATATAATTTATATTTTACTTATGCCGAATTATTTATAACAGTTTGCCGTTGCTATACTGTACCAGTGTCGAATGCTGCAGCCTGCCAGCTGTGATTTTAGGAGGCTCGTCCCGTATAGGACGCGGCGCAGGCCCGTGGCTGCAGAAACGTGCCACACAGACGGCGCGTGGCGGCTGCGGGCGGGGCTGTTGAGTCCCCCGCTGCGGTGCCACCCGCGGGGGCTGTGCCTCAAGCAGCCTCTCCTGCGCTTCCTGCACTGCGTGTCGTCCCTGATCCTGGTGGCTTCCTTGCTGGTGGAACGTCCAGGAGGGACGGGAAACGCCTGGGCTTGAGCTCACAGCCCCTGCTCAGCGCGTTCTGGGCCACCTGCAGACCCGACAGGGCACGACCTCAAGCGCCGCTGGGCTGTGCAAGCTCTCGTCATGCTTCTCCCTGCCACACTTCCCATGGGACCCGTGTGACGTGACGTGTGTGAGCGGAAGGCAGGATGAGGAAGGAGAGTGCGGACACGCTGTTTCGGAGTGCCACTGCTCTGCCTCGTCTTGGCCACCGAGTCAGGCGTGTTGTTTCACACGCAGGTGCACACTCCGATGCGTTGTTTCCCGCCTGAATCTGTCCCTGGTCAGGGGTTCTGGAGAACCCAGTGACCCCGGATCCTCCCCACAGCGGGAGACGGGGCTGGGCCAGGCTGAATGGAGCCTGGGCCTCCTTCCCTCACAGCCGGGAGCCCTGCGGGCACCTGCCTGTCCCGACTCTGAGCCACCTGGGGTCCTCTGCTGTCAAGTGTCAGGTCTCCGCTCCTAGGCCACCGGGTATCGCAGGCTCCAGTCACCAAGCTGGACTTTGGAATTGTGCTTTGTGAAGTCTCTGTTTTAAAGTGAGGGGGAGAAGAAGACTTAGCAACGAGCAGAGCTGGGACCAGCCGAATCACAGTGGCGTTTGTGTCTGTGTGTATGTATGTGTGCTTGTGTGTGCGTGTGTGTGTGTGTGTGTGTGTCAAGGCAAGTGGACCACTCCACTGTTTAGCTCCTATTGATGCACCAAACGTAAGTGCCTCGTTTCTGTGCCAAATGTTTGCCTTGGTCTTTGCCGACCTCCCTCCCTGACTCGACTCGCGGTGGCGTGGCCGTTCGAATGTGCCGGTGTTACCCGGAGGCCCCCGCGTCTTTGGCAGAGGCTTCTCGCATTCCGGTTTTTCATCTGCTGCAGGAATCCAGCTGAGGGGGCAGAGGCTTCTGCTTCCCCCAGACATGCCCATCCCAGGACGGTCTGACCCAGCGGTCACAGGCCGGGCCTCTCCTCCTCCCGCAGGAGGATGCGCGGGCTTGTGTGGGAGTCAGGCTGAGACTGGGGGCCGCATCGAGAAGCACAACCTGCCAGTGAATTACAGTGACGGCCGGGCGTCCACAACCCTCCGCCGTCCTCGGGGCGGGCATTCGAGAGGCCACGAAAACTTCCTTTCTGAACTGACGGACCAGGTGTGATTTTCGCTCAAGGTGGAAGCGGTCAAGGGCATCAGGGAATTTGTCCCGAGCAGATGGCTCCGTCTGAGGAACCAAAGGAAGCGAGTGTCCATGGTTTCTGAAGAGCTGGTACGACAGGTTTCTTTCTTCCTTGTATGTTACGTGTGCATCAAACAGAACAAGCCGAGTCCGCGTCCTCACAGACTGTGCATGGGCTCAGGAACCGTGAGCGAGCCCCACTGCCGCGCCCGCTCGGGACACGGAGAAGGAATCCTCCCCAGGCATTTGCCCTGGGGCGCCCGTGGGGCAGGCGCAACTGTCCGGAGAAATGCGGCAAGTTCACGGTGGCTGTGCCCAACACATAGTGTAGCCAGGGCCCTACTAACCCACTCGGTAAGCGTATTGTTGTATCCTCCAGTGTTAAGCTATAGCCATGTTAAAAGTCACGCTGCATTTATCCTCAGCATCAAAGACCTTGTAATGTCTTCTCTGCCTTACCTTTTAGTGCATATTTTTACTTTTCTGATATTGTAAAGGATATATCCAGTATGTAAATGAATGTTCTATAAATCCTTTGTATAGTCATTTTCTCTGCTCTTTAAATATCATCTCTATTCAGAGTATAATAAAATTATGAACTTGGTAAGCCATTTGTGTGCCTTGACGTATGTTGTGTGTGTCTGTGTGTACATGTGTATGTGTGTGTGCATGAGTGGGCATGTACACGTTATGTTTGTGTACATGTGTATGTATGTATGTGCACATTTGTGTATATGTGTCTCTGCATGTGCATGCACATATGTATGTGTACATGTGTCCGTGTGTGCTCATGCACATATGTGTGCCTGTTTGTTTATAGATCAGTGCATTCAGTTGTAAATTCATGTATGTTTTGCCTTCAGGAATACATTTTAAAATTTCTGCCCAGAGACCTTTCAAAATTTATATTCAAAGATTTTTAAAAATTAATTACAATTCACAGTGTTGATGATGGGTACTGATAATACCGCTATAAATACCTCTACACACACCCTGCCTACAGGAAGACACCCCTGGCATGGACCAGCCCTAATGGGACGTCCCATTTTCTACCCAGGTGGGTACTTAGCTGATGCTGAGAGTCTTGTGGGTTTACTTAGATTTCAGCAGATGCTGAGGGCAGCCCAGCAGTGCTGCCCTCCAGGCTGTCATGCAGGGCTCATCCCCTGCGTCTCCCATCCCCCAGCCACGGTCCATCCTTGGGGAGTTTGCTCCTTTTTGCTGGCTTTCTGCCCTCTCTGGGCTGTCTCCCTCCAGAGGTGACAGGACAGGGACTGCTGCTATCTTGTTCCCTCAGCTCCAAAACAGAAAAGAGCAATACCTGAGGCTCATTTGATCATGGACAGATAATAAAGATTTCAATTAGCAGCCACTGCCCCTGGCACAAAGTTCCTCTGCATGGTTAGCCCCCAGAGGCTTTAGCTTTCCACTCTGATGAGACACAAATGAGATCATTTTTCACCCCAAGTATGTTGGGAAGGAGGATTGAAATAGTCCAGGTGTTAGTGCCTCTGCCTCAGAGCAGAAGGGAGGGTGGGCAGCAGCAGGTTAAATCTTGTCCAACAGGAAGTTCCTGATGAGCCTTTGAAGCAAATCATTGCCCAGGTTCTTGACTAGGATCACAACAAGGTGAGAGGTGGGCAGGGCGTTGATTTCATAAGAGTTTACAGACTCCTAGTTCCAAGAAAACAGTTAGCATGCATCGCAGTTGCTTGGCTCATAGGGCATGCACATGTCCCTAGGTCCCTGGCCAGAGGCATCCTAGGAGACTGTCACAGAGACCCAGTGACCACAAAGCCTCAACTGGACAAGCCCCTGCCACATGCTGCAGGTGGCTGTCTCGGGTTCCCGTTCATCTCTCAGCAATGTTACATTATGGGTAACTCTGCCTCACCTGCTGGGGTCATCCATCTATTATGCGATGGGCATCTTAGCCCACTCACTTGGGGGTTATTGATCTATTCTGTAATGGGAACCTTGGGCCCACATCCTGGGGGACATCAGGTCTGTGCCTCATTCGTGCCTGTGTGTCCTGTTCTAGAGATTTGTATTACCACTAGGGAGGTGGGATGAGCTGCCCGGTGGCCTTGGAAGGTCATACTTCACAGAGCAGGGGCATTTGAACCAGTCTTAGGGGATAAGTTGGAGTTTTCTAGTTGGACTTGGGGCCTGGGGCAGTAGGCCCCAGGAAGGGACATTTCATGACACAGGGATTGGCCATATCAAGACACACCCTGCTGCTGGGATGAATCATAAATGGCCTTAAAGTTCCTAGGAAATTAGGCAACTGTGTGAAGCCTGGCCAGAGGCAACAGAAGGTGGAGGAGTAGAGGAGAGTTCACCAAGAGCCTGTCACCTACCTAGGTGACCAGGAAGTAGGGGCAGGGCAGCAAAAGGGATTCCATCACAACAGTTGATCTGGCCCAGGAAGCCTCTGTGTCCCCATGGATCTGAGACTTCCATCCCATCTCGGAGAATCTGGGGTGGCTGGGGGACCCAGAGCAGTATCCCACTGCGACAAGCACCCAGTCCCACCTGGAAAGCACTCTCTGTCTCCCATATGCAGGGGGAACCTGCTACAACAAATGCTATGCCAGGGAAGCCTCTTCATAGCTGTGGGCCCACAGCTCTCCTCCCTCTCCCCCACTGAGAGACACCTCTTAAGTCCCTCAGTTGCCACCAGCAGGGATCAGTGGGAGCCCCAGAGGCACCAGCTAAACCATGCAGACCAGAGTAGCACTGAAAAGCTCTGATGATTAAACCGTCAGTGGGACCAAAGGCCAGGACCTGCTTGCTAAACATAATCAAGACAACTACTTGCTTAAATAAAAGATTTAAACAGGACCCAGAGTTTCCTAACATAATAGCTAAAATGTCTGGGATACAATAGACAATTACTTGTTATGCCAAGGACCAAGAAATTTGCAGCATGAGTGAGAAGGACCACTGATGCCACCATCAGTAGGAATCAGATGCTAGAATTATCTGGCAAGGATTTAAAAATATACATCATAAAAAGGCTTCAACAAATATAAATAAACAAAAAGAGTAAATATAACAGTAATATAAACAAAATAAATAAATTATATTTATATTAATAATTTATAATATAAATAAACAAAAACAGTAAATAAATAGAAGTTATGAAGAAAAACCAAATGGAATTTATAGAACTAAAAAGTATAATAACAGATATGAAAATCTTACTAGATGTATTCAATAGTGGAGTGAAGATGAGAGGATAGAATCAGTGAACTTGATGACAACTCAATAGAATTCACTCAATCTGAACAACAGAGAGAAAATAGACT